GGGAGCCACTGGCCATTGCAGAGATATGTCCAAGGAGCTCTCCTAGTGCCCACACCTAGCTGTGCCCTTTCAGAGCCTGGGCAACTCATTTCTGTGCTCAGAAGGAGGAGGAGGAGTGGTGAAGCTGTGGGCTCCTGCTCCCACCCTTCCTCCAGAGGTAGACAAGAGCCACCAATCAGCAAGACCTTCTGCTGGAAGAGGAGGGTCTCACACGGTGCTTCCTGTCAGTACCACCTCTCCTCCATCTTCAAACCTAAAGCTCTGCATGGTCCCATTCATCCCAGCTGCTGTCCCTGGTGTGTTAAAGTGAAGGCTCATGGGGGTTTCCCATGATGCTTTGCCTAGACCCCGAGTAGAGGATGGTCCGCACACTGGTCCCGATTCTCCTTTCCTGAATGAAGGCTGTTACTGATTTCCTCATGAAGTGTCTAGAGGAAGGTCCACTCTGACTTCTACCTGCTCCATGCACTTTCCTCTCTGGGTTATTTCCTCCAGGGAAAAGAATTAGCAAGCCAAGATATCACACATCCACTATTACAGCTTCTTTTTCTATCACATACTTATTTATTTATTTTTGTGGATGTGTGAGTGTGTGTATGTGTGTGAGACATGCACAGAGACAGAGAGACAGAGAGGAATATATAGAGAGGGAGACAGGGAGGAAGGGGGGAGAGAGAGAGAAACTTTTGAGAGTTGTTGCCTTCTGCCACATGGTTCCAGGGTTGAACTCAGATCATTGAATTTGCCTGCAGGCACCTTTACCCACGGAACCGTCTCTGGCCCCTTCTTTTAACAAAGTCAAAACGCCTCATGTGGGCCCTTTTAGTGTGCACTCAGTGCCCAGTGAGGATCTTCTCTGTTTTCTTCCTAAGAGAAAATGAGCAAAGTTCTCCTCTTTTCTTTTTGTAAAAATAGCCTTATTCGGGTTTTACTCACATGCCACCAAATCGCCCCTTTAAAAGTGCTCAGAAGCTCAGTGCTGAGTGTGAGGCTCACACCTGTAACCCTAGCACTTGTAAGGGGAAGTGGGAGGAGCAGGGCACAGTGGAGGCCAGCCTAGGCTACATGGTGAGTGTCAGGCCATCCAAGGACAGGTAATGGGATCCTGACTCAAAGAGCACCGCTAAATCTAGACCCCCTCCCCAAAATGTTCAATTTAGGGGTCTATTTTTTAAAAGTGTTTTGGTGTTGTGCTTGTATGTGTAACTGTGCGCTACTGTATGGGGGCTTGGAACCAAGTCTGGGTTCTCTGCTCTTACCTGCTGAGCCCCTCTCCAGCTCCAATTCAGAGGAGTTAATAAGCTTGGCATTCTATAACCTTTACCATGATTTGATTTTCGATCATTTTAATCCCTTTAGCAACCTGATGCCCATTGGCAGTCCTTCCCTCTGGCCTCTGGCAGCCCCTAACACAATTCTGTCTCTACATCTGTGGGCTCTGGGTATTGCGTACAAATGAGAGCTCTCAGGAACCGCTCACGATGCTTCACTGTGTTCAGCTCCTCTGCAGCAGCACACAGCAGTATTTGGCTCAGCACACGCTAGTACCCCGTCTTATGTACATATCACAGGGTGTGGATATACACAACAGCTGATGAGCATTGGGGTTATTTCTCCATGAAAAAATTGCACATCATGAAAGCAGGATAAAGCATGAGTGTTCACATAGGGTTTGTGCAGATGCGTTTTCAATTCTTTGGTTCAGGGATGTACACAGGCATGAATGAGCTCCTTCTTGCTCACAGAAAGCAAATCACATGGCTTTTCACATCACTCACCCTCAGTGAGGTAGCAACATGGGCAACACTGTGGCCCTTGGTTTCCTGTGAGCTTCTTACCAGGATAACCTCATTAATGCTGTACAATTCTGCCTCCACTATCAGGGTATTTTGCTCAGTCTCCAAACACCCTTTCCAGTCCCCATTTCTTCTGAGCAGAGGAGGGAAGATCTGTTTCTCTGAGACTCAGGAAAATCCAGCTGTCTGGTCTGGGGGTATAGCTGAGAAGCACAGCTCACCAGCCTGGGGTCCTCGACTCACACCGCCACAACATGGTAATGGTTGGCTGGCTCACATCCTTGTGGCATCTTCCCCTAGCGCAGTAGTCCTTGCCAGGCTTGGCACAAGTGTTGTGTAGGTGCCGCAACCACGCGCCTAGAGCTTTTGAAGCTGGGAGGGCAAAGGAGCCCCCAGCTCTGCTGTGTTAGTACAGTCACAGAAGCTGCATAAAGAAACAAAAGTCCCATGAAACAAAAAACACCTGCTGAGTGAAATCCCCTAGTGAACCCAGCAGCTGGGAGGATGCAGGCAGTCTTCCAAGGTCACCATAGCAACCAGAAACAGAGCCTTTCATACAGTTTGCTGGCCTCTTCAGAGACAAAGACCTGTAGACATCTAGATGAACTTGGGGCAACCCGTGGCTGCTCAGGTTGCTTCCCCTCCCTTCCCAGGTTTGGTAACTCTTCTCTGATTGGAGCTACTTTTTTCACCCTATTTGCACACCCATATGCAGCTTGCCAGGCCACCCCCCGGGCACATGTCTGATTCCTTGCATCCAGGTGCTGCAGGAGCCCACCAAGAAAGAAGGGAAGGGAGACTTCAAAGCCTGACCCCTGGCCCTGGCCTGACTTCAGATGTTCCTGCTTGTTTCTTAGATCTTCACTGTAGACTTCAGGGTCTGGCTCATAGCTGGCTTGCTCATCGGAGAAGGAAGAGTGCCTTCCAGAATCACCAGGGACAGAGAGTTGACGGTCCTTGGGTCCAAGGCTTCTGCCCTGGGCAGGAAGCTTGCTGGATTCCACAATCTGATGAGCAGCCACAGGTGAGGGCCTTGTGCTTGTCTCAGCCGCCAAGACCCTTGTTGCGTGGTGGACTACAGAGGGGAATTTCCTCTGCAGCGGCTTTTACTCTCTGAGACCCTGCGTCTGACTGAGCTTGGCAGTTCCAAACTTCCAGACCGGCTTTGGAGACCCATTGCTCCAGACCGGCTTTGGAGACCCATTGCTCCAGA